GGGGGGGGGGGTCGAGTGGGAAAGGAGGAGGGTGCACAAGTGTCCGTTTCTGCAACTCCGCTGCTAATCAGACGAGTCCTGCTCTCTGCCCCGCAGGCCCTCTGGCCCCGTGGGGATTGCTTTTTTCGGAAGCAGATAACCTGGGAATCACGTGACCCCTCCCCCAAACCTTTTCCCTCTCATGACCCTTTCCAAATCGCTGGTTTCCTCCAGTGAAAAACTATAGTTCACTTTGGCCTGATTTAGTTTCTAATAATAGTTCTATATCTTTGAGATGTATGTTGGAGGGCTGTTTTGTTTTAGTTTGCTTTTTTTGCTGACCTTCAGGCAAATGGAAGTTCTGTTTTCCGTTCAGAAGCCACAACATTTCATTTTCTCTCTTTTCGGCTTTTTTTTTTAAAGCTCAGCCACCTTCTCACCCCCACCAAAAATTTACACACAAACAACAGCCTCTACCATCTGTTTAGACTAAAACTTCTCGCTCAACTGTTCTGTCCAGGAGAAAGTGGGTTTACCCTTCCGGGTGCACCCGAGCCCCTCGGGGTCAGGACTTGGGTCTGCTTTATCCTAAGGCCGAGCTGATCCCCACCTAGTTTCAGATCCCCCACCAAGGTAACCGGATAGGGTGGCCGTTTTTCAACTGTTCCTCTTACCAGCACCCCCGTGCCTTTCATCTTGTAAATGGTTTGGAGCTATTTGCCAATTCAGCAGACACTCCCGTCTTGATGGAAATGTTTAGCTGGCGCTTCCTGTCAGAGGCTGCCGGTGTGCACCGGGCCCAGAACTCCAGCCCTGGGTGTGATAGAAGCAGCAGGGCCTTTTCTAATCTGGATTAGGAAACAACGCCGCGAAGTTAAGTGGCAGGAGAACAGCGCAGGCTTTGTTCCGTTCTGGAGAGCCCCGGGCATTCTGTGTGGAACGACCTCTGAATGGGTGGGTGGGTGTACCTACAAGGCCTGCATTTCTCTGCATTCCTCATGCAGGAGAACAAGCAGGGGCCTTCCCAAACAGCAGTGCCTAGTGAGCTTTTACCAGATGCTCATTAAACTGGAGGGAAGCGCTGGGGAATCCCGGAGATCCTCAGACGGACAACTAAAGCCCAGTCGGGCCTGCGGGGGAAGGCCAGATCCATGCCGCCAGCCCTCAGCAAGGCAGGCGCGGATCTGCAGGCTGGGTTTCTGCCTCTCGTACCCTGTGCCTGGCTATATGAAGGATTAGATCATGCTTTCTGTTTAGCCTAATTCTGTAGTCCTTATAAATACACCAATATTTGTTTAGTCAAAGGGCATCATCACGCCTGGCATGCTGCCTCTTAGCAGGGACACCTTCAAATGTATTTTCTTAAGCTGGAAACATGAAAAATAACCACCACCCCCCACAGATGCTTCTCCTCTTGTAAGAGAAAAAAGATTCTTTACTGCAGACGGACCACCGACTGTTGAACTAAAGAAACCTAAACTTTGAAAGACCCACATTTTTAAAAAGCAGTGATAAGAAACTTTGAAATAAGGGTCAAGGATGTAAAATCAAAATCTCGACAACTTTTAAAACTTTTTTTAACAGTAAGAGCTTGTCCTGTAAACGTTACCTGCTGTTTACATTTCAACATTTTCTAAATTGGGATGAAACGGTGAGAAACATAAGATACATCTTCCTCCCTTGATGAAAATACGTAGAAATAACATAAGACATCAAGACACTGACCCCATACCGATGTTCTTATATTGAATGTATGGTCTTGAGCTCACGTTTGCTAAAGATAAGGACGTTCTCCCGAGCTGGCAGTCTTTGAAAACTGCAGTTGTAATGCAAGAGGGGCCGTCACATTTATTAGACTCGTGCAGGAGACAGTAGCATTCACTTCCTAGCACTCCCCATACGGGTGTCTGCCCTACAAAGTATGAGCGCCCATCATTCACTGGCAGGCTAGGCAGCTTTCTTAAAATAATTTAGACAAGGTACTTCAGGGTTGATACGGCATTTGGAAGGGTGTCTCCCAGTTTCCATCGTGGTCCCTGACTAGGATGCTCGTCACCCCTCTCGGAGGCTATCTTCAGACACCTTCAGGAACGCCGTAGGAACTCTGGGCTGCTTTGGTCAGGGGTGGGAGGGGTGTTGAGAGGGTGCGGGTGAGGGGACTGTGGACCTAAGACCGCACGCGGGAGGGTCGCACGCGGGAGGGTCGCAAGCGCACTGTCAGTAGTGGCGGCCTCGCCATCACCAGCCTTCAGGGCAGGGCAGACACTTATGCCATCTTCGTGACTATGAACAAGTAGCTTGAAACTCGGCGGTCTCTTTTCCAACTGTCCTGGAACATCTACGGTTGGAACTCTCAAGTCTCTAAGATTGCAAACTGTCTTGAATCAGGGGCTGTGCCCGACCGCTCCTTTGATGGCTTTTAGTCCTGCGGGTCGAGCCACCGGCGGAGCAGCGCCACACGGAGCGGTTCGCTGGGCCCAGCGCCTGGAAGGAATCTGCCACCGACTCAGCTCGTGGAGGGGCGCCGAACACCGCCCCCCCGCAACCTCACTGTACGGCTGGTCTTCCTGGGGCCTTGCCCCACGGGGGAAGAAACCGGCCATCCCTCTTTCCCAGAGAAACCTCGCTGCTTTCCAAAGTGTCCTTCCTTCGTGGTTCTGACGGCCCTAACCTCGCCCCGTCCCCCAGCAGCCTGCATTTGAACTGAGTTTCTACAGTCGGAGCAGCCGCGAGGCTGCACCAGCGAAGGCCAAGTGCGCGCACTCAGCGCTAGAGAAGAGGAGACACCTATTGGCAAGAAGGCGCGCACGAAATCAGGGCTGCTCTGGGGAAACACCAGGGGGACACCGCTTCCCAATCTGTGCAGCGCGCCCGCCGCGCGCCCGGCCGCCCGCGCCCCTCCCTGCGCGCGGACCCTGGACCGGCCTGCTCGCCCCTCCGCGGGCCGGGACCCCGCCGGGCGTGGATCGGACGGGCGCGGGCCGCACGGGCGCCGGGCTCAGGGCGCGGGGCCGGGGGCCCCCCCGGGGGCCGCTGCGGGGGTCTGAGGCCGCTCCGGCTTACCTTCCTCTGCCGACTTCATGGTGCCGCCGGCGGGCGCAGAGGGCCCCAAAGTTTCTCCGCTCCCGCAGACTGCAGCCGGAGGGCCGAGTGGAAACTTGGAAGGGACTGGAAAGCTGGTACTTGGCATCCACGCGGCGGCGGCGGCGGCGGCGGCGGCGGCGGCGGCGGCGGCGGCGGGAGGAGCGGGAGGAGGAGCGGGCGTCTTGCGCCGCCGCGCGGGGCCGGGTCTCCCGAGGAAGGACGCCTCTCCCCCGGCGGACGCGCGCCGGCCCGGGCTCAGCGCCGCGCGCCCCAGAGAAGCGTTGTGAGGGGCGTGTGCGCGCGTGGCGGGTCCGGGCTGCGGCGGCTCGGAGGTGTGCGCCCGCGCCCCGGTCCCCGCGCCCGGCCGCACTCCCCGGCGCGGTGACTGACTGTGCCGGCGAGTTCGGAGCCTCTGAGTCTCGCTCTGACGCAGGGCCGCGCTCTGCCTGCTGCCTTTTTAAAGCTGGAAAACACCTCCCCCGCCTCCCCGCCGGCCCGGCCGCTCCCGCGCCCCCTCCCTGCCGTGACATCACGCCCCGGCCCGCCCGAGCCAGCGCTGGGCCCGGGGGACCGTCGGCCGAGCGCCCGCCC